GCGCCCTCCCCCCGCTCGGCCGCGCTAAACCGCAGAAGGTCCTCCGCGGCGTTGAAGCCCTGCAGGGCGAGGTGGGCGAGCGCCCCGGCCAGCTCCCTGGGCGACGGCGGCGCGCACACCAAAATCCGCTTCCGCGCGGCCCCCCGGTGGTGATAAAAGGCCGCCAACAGAAAAGACAGGTTCGCCGTGTGGGCATTCCCCACCCCGATCTCATTCGCGCTCGCCCCGACCAGGCTCGCGAGCTCGCGACAGTACATCGGCGCCAACTCCTCCCACGGGTTTGGCGGCAGGCGATAGCCTTCCACCCCTTGCTCCCGCCACTTCCGCGCGAGGGATTGCATCTCCGCCTCGGCGTCGACATGCGGGAGGCCGAAGGTGCTGCTCGCGAGGTAGACGCAATGCCCGCCGCCGCGCGTTTTGGGGAAGTGGAAATTCGCGCGATACGAGCGGAGCGGATCCTCCTCGTCGAGGTGCCCCGCAAAGGCCTCCTCCGTGATCGCCAGCCCCGTGGAGCTGGCCATGCTCAACAACTTTTCCGTCGCGGCGTTCCGCATGTTGATCGTTTGTTTTCTTCTTTTTTTTCCTTGGATATCGATTTATATGTTGATATATATAATCAATATCTATCTATATATTTATATAGATATATATGGATATAAATATAAATATATAGATATATAGGTAAATACGTGTATATATTATACACAGCCCCTTGATTTGCTTTTCTATCGAAAGGGAAACACATCAAAGAAGGAGGCGATGTAGCAGTGAGGAGATCCAAAAAGGCGTTGAACGGGCACTCCTTTGTGAACATAAACCAAGTGAAGTCATTTTGTATTATTAGTCTATCATTAATGACTGAACCATATGGTCGATTTATATCGGGGAAAAATTTCAAAGGAATGAAAATCAAAAATCCAAAGAATGCATTAAAAAGGCTATAAACAGCAGAGCATGGAAAATGTTAAGATATTTCCCATGTATTCTTACCAACATTTTTGATCACCTCGTATTCTTATAACAAAAAAAAAAAATGCATCAGTTAGCCTTAGCTCAAGAACACAGAAGAAATACCAATCATTAGACCTAATGGGGGAAAAATAACCGAGTTTATTAGTGTATCATTACATACACCATGCAACATGTCAAGTTGAAATGTCCAACCATTAAACTCATATGTGTGTAGATATGCGTATTTGCTGGTGTGTATTCCATTGGAACACAGATTTACCTGCATGAAATATTGACAGAATTGCAATCTCAAAGTGTGTGTTAATAAATAAAATCACACAAGACACAAATGAAGAAAGTATACTTCCCCTGCTGTATGCTTGGCGCCTACCTTACAGCTTTACTTTCTCTTTATGCAATGATTGCTTATCCTTCAGAACCCCACACCCTTTTTTCCTACCTCTCCTTCTTTAGCCCCTCCGGCTCGCCGATAACAACATCAATCGACGGCCAGAAATTCCTCTCCATCGCGTCCGCGTACCACTTTACGGTATCCGCGAACCCCTCGTCAAAGCGCACCTTCGGCCTCCACCCCAACCCCCGGATCTTTTCGGAGTTAATCAAATACACCTTATCGTTGCGGACCCGATCCTCGACGCGAACGATGTGGCTTTCGATCTTATCGCCCTCACTTTCCACTTTCCCTCGCACGGCTTCCACTACGCGGCGGGCGATCTCATTCGCACTCCGCGGCGGTTCCTCGCTGCCAACATTATACGCCTCTCCGAGAACACCGCGCTGAAGCAACAGCGCGATCGCCCGAACGACGTCGGAGACGTGCAGAAACGACCGCTCACACTCACCTGAGCCCTGAATCGTCAACCGCCGCCCATGGAGGGCGAGCATGATAAACCGCGAAATGAGCTTCTCCGGATACTGATACGGCCCGTAGACGTTGTTCATCCGCACGATCAGTATGGGGAGGTGGTAGGTGGAATGATAGGAACGCGCGATGCACTCCGCGGAGGCCTTCGTGGCGGCGTAAGGGTTCATAGGGCAAAGCACTTCCCCTTCCCCGGCAGGGGTACTTCGCTCGCCGTAGACCTCATCCGTGCTGATGTGGATGAACTTCCCGATCTTGCCGTACGTCCGCGCACACTCGAGCAACGTGTGCGTGCCTAACACATTCGTGGTGGTGAATAACAGGGCTTGGTGGAAGCTGTTCTCCACATGTGCCTGCGCGGCAAAGTGGACGATGGTATCGATATCGTGATCTTCAAAAATGCGTAGGACGAGCGTCGCGTCGGCAATATCGCCTTGGACAAAATGATAGTTGGGGAGGTCCGCCACCTCAATCGATTTGGGATGCGCGCAGTACTCCATCTTGTCGAGGTTCCAAACCTCCATCTCGGGGTATTCTCGTAGGAAATAGTTGATGAAGTTGCTACCGATGAAACCGCACCCGCCCGTGATCAACAAGTTGCGCATCGGTCGGTTCGCTGTTTGCCGCAGCGCTTCGACATTTGGGTTGCACTCCCCCTGAACCATTGCTTCTTTTGATGTACCGTATTCTCCGATATATATTTATATCGATCTATCGATCTATATATAAATAGATAGATCGATAGATATTTGAAAAGTTAAATAATTATTTAATTATTACCTCTACAGGAGAATGAGGATACTGTATATACACAGGGAAAGAAGTAAACAAGGAAAAAGGGGAGGAACCCATATACCTCAGGAAGCATCGAGAATAGGGTGACCAAAGCGCATTCCTCTGGATAGGCACAACAAGCAGTGCTAGATAGAATTCAGTGATTTAGTATTTTAAAAAAAAATGAAAAAGTGGGTGAGGCATAAACAGGTATAATAAGTCAAACGATCGCAATGCCAAACTGAGCGTCTAACACAATATCAAGCACGGCGGCTTAGGAAGTGCAGTCCTGGAGGTTTGGAGCCCTCTTGAATGTGGGTTGAGACCCTGGCTCCTTGTATTTTCCCTGTTGGACTCCTAATATGGTCGTTGTTGGTTTCTTAATTTGTATAAGGAAACCAATAACACGCGCCACCTGTGAAACGACATCGCGCGAGATTGAGTATTTAGACGTATCATCATCCTCCTTAGCGGAGCCCATGAGGTTGAGATTCCCAAACAGAAAAGCGCGCGAACATCTCGCCTACTCCCTTACTTGGTGCTGGAGTTCGTCTTCGCGTGGCTGCGCGCCGTTACGGTGATCTTCTTCACAGACGGGTGAATGGAGCGCTCGATCTTGTCAGCCTTCTTCTTATCCGCCACGACGAGGGTGTAGAGGTAGCGGCTGCAGCGGACCTTAAACTTGGAGACCTTCGGGTTGTGCTTCACCTTCACGCAACGGGCGTCCTTGCGGGAGCAGATGGCAAGGAACTCCTTCAGGTTTTTGATCTCGCGGGGCATTTTGGGATCGGCTCACGTGTGAATTTGTCCTGCCTTACTAAAAAACAAAAAGAAAGTGCAGCGAAGCGGGAGGAGGAGATAAATAACAATCATGAAAATAGGAAGGAAGAATACTTAAGACGCCGAAACGAGGACCCAAAACCTCGTAAAGTACCACGCAAGGATGCGTCTATAGGTGATATCCCTATATACCGGCTAATAATGATTGACATGTAGAATAAAATATCAAGTAGAAAGGGTCGCATAATACTAAGAAGGTTAACAAGATTCGAAATTTATGTTGCGTGCGTGTGGGGAGGTTGACCACCTCCCCGCACGGCGGCCACATGGGATTGGGCTCACTTCCCCTTTCTTTCGTTATAAAAAAAAAATATATCTCACGGTGTAACAACTTTATGCCATCTATCATCTCACCTCTGCGTTGCCATATACCCACAGAATGAAAATATATCTAGCGTCCAAACATTCACCTCCATCTATGCATCAAATAAGTGTGTGTATATCAATAAAGGGAGACCCTTTAAGGTGATAAGTCTATGGGTGTATTTTATAGAAACCTATATGTATGAACCAAAAAATAAAATAAAAATATATTTATCTATCTAAGAGGAAGTGGAAATGGAAAAACGACGCGGCTGAAGCCTTGGATTCCCTCACCACTTGCGTTTACCACCTCCTTTCCCTTCCTTTTCTTTTCTTTCCGTTTCCCCTCCTCCGACAAAGCGGGTGAAGCAGAGGGAAAGGGAGAGAGAAGAGGGGGGGGGGAGTATTTGCTAACACGACAACCCGACGATCCCCCGGAGCTCGCGCAGCACCGCGGCGAATTTGTTTTCGCTGCCGTCGAGCCCGCAGGCCTCCATCTCGCGTCGGAGGCGCTCCCCGCGCGCGACGAGGGCGGCCTGCACGGCCTCGAGGCTCCACGCGCCGCGCAGCGCGAAGCACTCC